ACACACACAGACACACAAACACACACATGCTTGCAAAGCACAGTCTCCCTCACACACAGGCCCAGTGGTCTTAAAGATAAAAAGACCTACAGAGGATGTGCAGCGCTAATGGAGTGGAGATGAAACCACCGGGAGTTTCCTCCGCGCTGCACACAGTGTTGTGTTCCCTGCACCAGGAGTGAGTTATGGAGGGTGTTTGACTTCAATAAAAAAATGAGGACTGATCCCGCAGGTCACACTCACTCCATAAAACATAGGAACGGAAACAGGGGGAAATCGGGAGCTCGCTGCGTCCAAATTAGGTGGCGCTGTGAGACGGACCAGAATCAGACCAGGTCCAGGTTTCTGTCCGATCCAGACCCGTTCTCACCGCAGCCCTTCCCCCGGTGGAATGCTTTCTTACAAACCATTAAAAATCATTTCGAAAAAACCGCTTCCAACCCAGAGAATCTCTAATATATGTAACAGTTTTCCAAGCCAAAAAATTCAGTGCCTTGTTGCCATGACAACGGAGATGGCACGGTACCGTCACAGTCCCTGGTGATGAGTGGCTGTTGAAACCTGTGTGTGCATATGTGTCGCTGTTTGGCCTGGCAATTAGTTTGAATGAAGATAATAATATAGCACGGCTCTGGCAGCGGCTCAACGTGTTGTTTTGTTTAAGTATTTCTTGGCAGCGACGTCGCTGGTGCCGCGGCGCTACACTATACTTTATTATATCAGCCGTTCAAGGTGTTAAATCCATTTTCAAACCACGCTTTTTCTACGTTGTTTTGGCAGAGCGTCAGCGCCAAACCCTGAAGGGATCGTTGGATGAGAGGAGATGGTAGAAGTTGGATTCAAAAGGGAGTCGTTCCCATCGTCGTGTTGGACAGACGTCCACGGACAATACTGGACGTCGGAGACCAGAGGACGACAACTACAGTCGGACGATGTGACGAGTGTTGATGACAAGAAAACGTTAACCTGCAGCTTCACCCTTCAGTAGACAGGACTACTGCCCCCCTCTGTCTGACTGTGGTACAACTGAGAAGAACTGACATTTTAATTAATTAACCCTGGTCCAATACCTCGAGGCTCACCACAGGGGGGCGCCGCCCCATCTCAAAAACCACTACAGCAGTCAAACCATCAACGTTGTATTAATTACTTGATCGATGATTAAGGAAGAAAAGTTGGACAAAAGGACTAAACAATGTGTGTGTGTGTGTGTGTGTACAGGACACACTCACCCCCCCGTGAACACCAGCGTCTGTGTGTCATTATCATTGTCCTGCTCATGCTGTAGACCACCACACACAGATACATGTTTTTGTGCTCCAACTACACCACAGTTCTGCGTCTAATCTTCATCCTAATCCTAATCTGTCTCTGGTTCTAATCCCGACTCCAAATCTAAACTGAGTCGGACCTGCAGGAAGTCCCCGCGAGGGACCATCAGCAGCCCACACACACACACAGATACATGTTTTTTTGTGCTCCAACTACACCACAGTTCTGCGTCTAATCTTCATCCTAATCCTATTCTGTCTCTGGTTCTAATCCCGACTCCAAATCAAAACTGAGTCGGACCTGCAGGAAGTCCCCGCGAGGACGAAGTGGCCACATACCCACACACACGTAATCTTCATGTTCACACACACGTTTCCAAAACACAAACACCATGTTACACACACACACACACACACACACACAGGTGTCCAGTCTCTGTTTCCTGCCACGTTCTTCACTGATGTGTGTTTATGTTTCTGAGATCGACCCCCCCGAGCCCCCCCCTCTTACATGTATCACACACACACAGGCTAATGGACACACACTCCACGTCACACTCACTCCGTGGCTCCATTCATCATTCACACAGATACGAAAACACAACGTAACACACACACACACACACACACACGTGCAAATCATTTGCAGACCCCCAAAGGTGGGATTACACACACACACACACACACACACACACACACACACACGGCCGGTGCTAATGGACTCATTCACAGGTGTTTATTCATGTACGAGTGTGTGTGTGTGTGTGTGTGTGTGTGTGTGTGTGTGTGTGTGTGAGCCGCACACATTTTGCTAATTTATCCAAACGCTCAGAGTGTTTGTTTCTGCATCAGCAAACAGGCCCTCGGAAAAAACTAAAGTGCACTGAGAGGGGGCGCTCTGGAGGCTAATGACATAATCTGAGAATCAACATCGACCAAAGGGGGGGGGGGCTGGGCAGGGGGGAGGGATAAACAGGTCTGGGTGTTAAAGGAACTTTGTTAGAAGTATTTTTTTTATAATTCGTAGTACTCACTGTCAGACAAATACTCAGGTCAGTAAAGGACGTGGCGTCAAACACCAACGTTTCCTCACGACCGTACAGATCTGGCTGTAAGTGCGGCCGTGACCCCCGGTGACCCCGGGCTCTCTGTCTCCACCCTCAGGCTGTGCTGTGTCATCTAAGGACAGCTCTGCAGACATGCCTCAGTTCACAGTCAAATGACAGGGGCCTCCTCCTCCTCCCACGGACAAATCCACCACTGTTCTCTCCCTCCTCCGTCTCCATCTCCCGTCTCCGTCTCACCCGTTTACTGTTTTCTGCTATGACAACCTATGCTCCCCCCCCCCCCCCTCCACCCTCTCCCCTCCCTCGGCTGCACCTCTGTGGCCCGAGGTGAGGGTTGTGTTCCATTTTCCCTGTCCTGCAGGTGGAGACGGCGCTCCTGCTGGTGAGGGGTGGCATCAGCAGCAGCAGCTCGCTCTCAGAGTCTGGGGTAAATGTGGGGCTGCAGCTGCGTCTGTGCATCTGTGGCCACATGTGACGGAGGCGGACCAGACGGAGACGCAGCCCTAAATACACTGCAGCACCTATGTTAGCTGTGTACACTGGGCCCCGGAACATGTATAAAAATACATAGCTGTCGTAGATCATCTCTAACCCCCCCACCCGCTCTCAAATTTACCCTCCCCCTTCCTCCCTTACTCCCCAGTCTTTGGATAAAGAAAATCCAAAAGCCTCCTCAGCTGGGTTTGGTTTAAGAGGTTTATCAGTTTGTTGCTAAACATTCTGACCTTTTTTTTTTAATCTTTAATGCGCTTAAAATGTTCCAAACCCTCCTAATCCCCATGGCCATCCCACACAGATGTTCACTCCAGTCTACCTTTTCCAGTGTTTCTTCTTCTTCTTCTTCTCCACCTCCTACTTCATCTTATACAGCCCCCCCGCCCCACCACTTAAATGCAAATTTGTTTTTCTCATCTCGAAAAACTTCGACGATTTCACGATCATCAAGGACAGACGTGATCAGAGCCCCTCAGTGGTAGGTGGGGCAGCTGAGGGACT